GTGCTCAGTAAGTCCATCTTTAATGATATACTACTAAATTTGCACATAAACCTCTGTCAGTTGTAATACAAACCTGTACAATTTTAGTCATCTCTCTCTTCTCAATTAGTCCATCTCCATCGATGTCATACATTCTGAAAGCCCACTTAAGCTTATCATCCGATGATCCTCCTGAAGTAATGCCCACTGCTAAGAGAAACTCCTTGAAGTCAATGGAGCCATTATGATCTGTATCAAATGTCCGGAATACATGTTTACAAAAGTTTTCTGGGTTTCCAGAGGTGAAAAACAATTTGTAGAGCTCCACAAATTTTTCTTTATTTAATTTTCCATCTGGACAGTCATGCTGGGGTGAAAACAATATGAAAAAAAAAAAAACTGAGTGCATGTAAAAAATGTAGAATGGAAATAAAGCACTATAATGATCAATCAATTAAAAAGTATTATTTGTCTATTAAAAATTGATGCCTCTGAAATAAATGTTACAATTGTCACAACTTTTCAACCAGTTTACATCAGATTCTTTAAATTTCAAAAGCATAATAAATATACATAACTGATTATTTAAGAGCAGCAATTACACTGATTATTATCATGTAAACTAACTGATTAATTGATATTAGTATTTTTGATTATTCCAACTATCCAAGTAATTCAAATATTTCCATCTAACTTGCTTGTCCTGTCTTTGTAAGGCAAAGCTACTAAAGCTATCTGCCACTGTCACTAATTTTTTACTGCTGACTAAAAAAGTGCAACTGGCTGGCAACAACTATCACCAACTGTTTAATTTATTTTGTTGATGAATTGTTGCCTAGAGGGAATGCAATTCTCTGGCAGAACCCACCCCTACCTTTTCTGTTGTTGTTGGAGAACTACTGATTAGAAGGAAGGTAACTCCCTGGCAGCACCCACTCCCACTTTTCCTGTTGTTGTTGGAGAACTGCTGATCAGAAGGAAGGTAACTCCCTGGCAGCACCCATTCCCACTTTTCCTGTTTTTGTTGGAGAACTGCTGATCAGAAGGAAGGCAACTCCTTGGCAGCACCCACCTCCATTTTTTCTGTTGTTGTTGGAGAACTGCTGATCAGAAGGAAGGTAACTCTCTGGCAGCACCCACTCCCACTTTTCCTGTTGTTGTTGGAGAACTGCTGATCAGAAGGAAAGCAACTCTCTGGCAGCACCCACCCCACTTTTTCTGTTGTTGTTGGAGAACTGCTGATCAGAAGGAAAGCAACTCTCTGGCAGCACCCACCCCACTTTTTCTGTTGTTG